GCAAAAAGTCAGAAAATCCAAGTAAACAGACAGAAAGTAAAGAAGCCCCTGAAGATTGTTCAATCCACAGAGGGTCCCGAGACACGTTCACTCCATACTCAAGAAAGTGCTCAGAGACCACCTTGAAAACACTCAAAAAAGCACAAAAAACTTCAGTAAGATCTGCAAAGAGAGGCAGCTGAATTCAGTAAAGAAACGGAACATAAGGAACAAACAAAAGAGCATCTCAGCTGTGTTAACTTAGCATTCTCAAGTCGAAGGCCGTCCTGGGCTACGTAAGCAAGACACCGTCTCAAAACCAAAACCCAAACCGAAAAACCCTCGGGCTGGGGAGACGGCTCAGTGGTTAAAGTGCTGGCTGGGCAAGTGTGAGGACTGGGCTTCTGATCCCGCATGCATACTGTGTCCCCAGACCACTATGAGTGGCACATTTTGGCGAAGTGTAGGTGCAAACAGGAAACATAAAAAGGACAAAGTAGCTTTGCCGACTTGCGTGGAAACTGGATGGGGTTAGAGCACATCAAATAAAAACAAACACCTATTGTTCAACATCATTAGTAATTAGGGAAATGCAAATTAAAACCACTTTAAGATTTCACCTTACCCGGGTCAGACTGGCTAAGATCAAGAAAACAAATGATATCAAATGTCGGAGAGGATGTGGGGAAAGGGGAACCCTCATCCACTGCTGGTGGGACTGCAAACTGGTTCAAACCCTATGAAAAGCAGAGTGGAGAACTCTTAAAAAACTACAAATGAACCTGCCATTTGACCCAGTTATACCACTCCTTGGCATATACCCAAAGAACTCATCCTATTGCAGAGACACTTGTACACCCATGTTTGTTGCTGCTCTTTTCACAGTAGCTAAGAGATGGAAGCCACCTAAGTGTCCATCAACTGATGAGTGGATAATGAAAATGTGGTTCATTTATACAATGGCGTTTTACTGAGCAGTAAAGAAAGATGAAATCATGAAATGTGCAGGTAAATGGATGGAACTAGAAACTGTTATACTAAGTGAAGTAATACAGACTCAGAAAAAATAAAAGCGAGGTATGTTCTCCCTCATAATGTGGATCCTAGAACCAAACCCTGATAAGTGAGTATGTATCCAGACATAACTACAGAAACCAGGATAATGGAAAGGAA